AAGGAGCATGTCGGTGTTCTTGTGCTTTGATCTGTGACTTTCTGTGCTAAAAACGAGTGTAAACAGACTTCGGAGGTTCGAAGGTTTGAGCGTGAGCCCTCGCCTACCGCGGAGGCAATTCAGATCGGTGTCATCTGCATCCAGCGCAGGCCTCTACCATCTAGTTCGTATGACCCGGCACATGCGAGGCACATCGGCTGAAAAAACTCTACGGTAGTTTCCGTCGCAACATAGACACCATATACGACGACCGAAATATCGCGTAGGTCATACGGAGGAGTTTTTATCTGCACTGTGTTTGTGTTCGTTTTCAACATCAGTATTCATCATCGCTGAAAGGGAACCTCGCACTAGCCAACACATTTCCGTGATGTGAAAACGTACGTACTTATATAAGTGTATTCGCGAATTGTATGACGCGGAAACATTCGTTGGCTTCGGTGCTAATCGTTTTCGTGTGTTGCCAAGCTAATAACAACCGTGCGCTGGTTGGTAGCAGTGAGATGCGACTTCGTGTCGGGTACCAGCGACGCTGACACATTGGGCTGTCAGCGGTCTCATTTCCATTCACGTACAAGACAGAAACTCGAGCGTGCGTTGCTGTGGTGATCGAAAAAGAAAGTTGCATGATTAAGTGCTGCTGGTATTGCCTGCTATTTCACTTCTCGCTTATTCTGCTTCTGTGCCACGCTCAATGGCACATACGTTGTTTGGAGGCACTCTAACACACACATTCTTAATTTGTAGTTCATTCTGATACTCATAGCTATAGGCATACAATGGCGCTTCTCCGTCATTTTACAGTTTACTATAACATAACGCGCGTTCTGTTTACAGCTGGACAGATAACTGAAAACCTTGTGAGAAGCACCTGATTTGAAATCAGCTGCACGATGACACGATTGTGGGAAGAGAAGATCACCACATGTATGCACAAAATGAATGAAGGTGCACTAGTATGGTACTGCACTTTGTGTAGAAGAAATGCAAAAAGTACCTCATGTGACTTATGAGTCCTTTCAGAGCTGTGCTTGTATTTGTCTGTGCCTCCAGACTGTAATGAGCTGAATATATTCGATGGTTCTGAACATTGAATATTTGTATGTGTTTCCAAGGAGTCCTTCATTTCTGTTCGGTTTTTTAGTATATGCATTGACTTGGATTATATATACGCATTCACTTAAGCATATTCTGTTTAGTTCTGTTGGAAAACTTGCCAAAACTTCTGTATGGTGCTCTGGTACAATCCTTTGATCAGTATCTGTCCCATCAAAAATTTTTGGCATGCTTTATTGCATTATAGGGTATTCTGACAATTGATGACATGTGAAAGCCACAGTGCTTGGCTGTAATCTCAAAACCAATTTCTGTTTCATCAAGAAGTGTCAGATGCATTTTGTAGATGTTAAAGGATATTTAAACTACCAGCAAAGTGCTGAAGTCTTCAACACAGCACTGATCCGCAATCACCACCCAGCTTAGAAGTCATTTGTAGAGCTCTCTAACACGTTCAAATAAAGTTATCAAACACAGGATTGATCTACTTGGTTTGATTCCTAATACCAGTGTGTCTGACTTTTTGGAGGCACTTGTATTATAATAATGTCCTATTTCTCTCATTTATTACAGGGGTGCACTCAAGGGTAGTGATATTTGTTTACCTTGGCACACTTAATGTGATATTACTGTTTAAATCCTTTCATTCTGTACATATGTACGCCACTTTTGCAGTAGCCTCACAGTGAGCAGCCGTATTTGAAAATAAATAAATATACCATCCGAAAGTGTTCAACGCTGTGCTCGGTTCCAATCTGGTCGCTAATATTTGTTGCATCATGATGTGTCGGGAGTGTTTTATTGCATTGGAGAACATTTTGGCTGCCTTCCATGCAGGGTTCAGTTCCAGTATTATGACTAATATCTGTGACTTCATGAAGAGTTAGACGCGGTTTGTCGTTTTAGAGAATACTTTAACTACAGACAACATCCAGAAGTCTTTCCTACAAGGTTCAGTTGCAGCCCTATGGCCAATATCTGTTTTATCATGAAAACTTCAAGTACAGTTAGTTGGATTAGAGCGTATTTTGACCACAAAAAATGCCCAGAGGCATTCTACGTAGTGCTTGGTTTCATTCTTATGACCAGTATCTGTTGTATCATTAAGAGCCAGATGCGGTTTCTTGCATTACAGGATATTTCCAATATGCTTATCATTCAAAGCCCTCTGAACAGGGCACAATTACAGCCTCATGACATAAATCCGTCACATCATGAAGAGTAGGGTGTGGGTTGTTGCATTGCAGAACATTTCGGCTGCAGACAACGTTCAAAAGCCTTCTATACAGTGTTCACTTCCAATATTATGACTGATAACATTGACTTTATGAACAGTTGGGTGCGGTTTGTCATTTTAGAGAATAATTTGACTAAAGAGAACGTCCAGAAGTCTTCCATACAGGGTTCCGTTCCAATATTATGACTGATATCTGTGACTTCATGAACAGTTCGGTGTTGTTTGTCGTTCTTGAGAATACTTTGACTAAAGACAACGTCCAGAAGTCTTGTATTGAGGTTTCAGTTATAATATTATGACCGATATCTGTCACTTCATGAACAGATGGGTGTCGTCTGTTGTTCTAGAGAATACTTTGACTAAAGACAACGTCCAGAAGTCTTGTATTGAGGTTTCCGTTCTAATATTATGACCGATATCTGTCACTTCATGAACAGTTGGGTGTCGTCTGTCGTTTTAGAGAATACTTTGACTAAAGACAACGTCCAGAAGTCTTGCATTAAGGTTTCAGTTCTAATATTATGACCGATATCTGCGACTTCATGAACAGTTGGGTGTCGTTTATCATTTTAGAGAATACTTTGACTAAAGACAACGTCCAGAAGCCTTGCATTAAGGTTTCAGTTCTAATATTATGACCGATATCTGCGACTTCATGAACAGTTGGGTGTCGTTTATCATTTTAGAGAATACTTTGACTAAAGAAAACATCCAGAAGTCATGCATTAAGGTTTCAGTTCTAATATTATGACCGATATCTGTGACTTCATGAACAGTTGGGTGTCGTCTGTCGTTCTAGAGAATACTTTGACTAAAGACAACGTCCAGAAGTCTTGTATTAAGGCTTCAGTTCTAATATTATGACCGATGTTTGTGACTTCATGAACAGTTGGGTGTTGTCTGCCATTCTAGAGAATACTTTGACTAAAGACAACGTCCAGAAGCCTTGCATTAAGGTTTCAGTTCTAATATTATGACCGATATCTGCGACTTCATGAACAGTTGGGTGTCGTTTATCATTTTAGAGAATACTTAGACTAAAGAAAACATCCAGAAGTCATGCATTAAGGTTTCAGTTCTAAAATTATGACCGATATCTGCGACTTCATGGACAGTTGGGTGTCGTCTGTCGTTTTAGAGAATACTTAGACTAAAGACAACGTCTAGAAGTCTTGGATTAAGGTTTCAGTTTTAATATTATGAACAATATCTGTGACTTCATGAACAGTTGGGTGTCGTTTTAGAGAATACTTTGACTAAAGACAACGTCCAGAAGTCTTCCAATGCAAGGTTCAGTTGAAATATTCTGACCAATATCTGTCACATCATGAAGTGTCAGGCACAGTTAGTTGCATTAGAGCACATTTCGGCTATGGAAAATGCCCGAAGGCATTCTACGCAGTATTTGGTTCCTATCTTATGACCAATATCTCTTGTGTGAATAAGAACCGGGTGTGCTTTGTTGCATTAGAGGATATTTCGAACACACACATCAAACGAAAGCCTGCTACTCTGGCCTCAATTGTAGTCTTATGACTGACTTAAATCTCTCAGATCATGAAGTTGCAGGCGTGATTATTAAGTTGACTGATATAAAATATGTTGTGTAAATATACTGAAGGTACCAGCATATGCAAGATATTGTTAGTAACTTTGGTAGTGCAGGTATAGAAACCCGGTGGTTTGTAAACCTGATCAGGAGGGCAGCCACGCCTCATTCACCGCAGAGAGGAGGGAGGGGGGGGGGAGCTCAATGTCAACTTCATATATTAACATAATAGGGAGGGGGTGCTAAGTCAGCCCTGGGGGGGGGGGGAACTGGAACAAACTTTTGCCCACCCCCCTTAAGGAGAGCCCTGCACACGCCTATGATAGACGTACAGTATGCTAGACGCGATTCGCGGGAGCGGCGCACGCACCGATGTTGATTTCTGGTGCTACCGCTGTAGTTACTTTGGGCACTGAAATGTCAATTACTTCTAAAATAGTCTAAACTGTGGTGGCTGAAGCACTATCAACTTGTTAACGTGTTCTCATATTCTCTGAAACATACATTCCCGCTCCAGTTGAGAACGTGCCGTTCCGTGCTGAACTTGGACAGTTCTAAGCCAAAAGATCAAGCAACATTGTGCATCGGCCTTGGATGCGTGGGCGTCAACGTGGTCGACGCGTGCCAGTAGTTGCACGCCCTTTTCCTCCACAGGCGCGACTAGACGCTTTTGACGCGTAGGCGCAAGCATACGCGTGCCAGTGGTTGGAACTCTGTGGCGGCAACGGCGCCACAGAACACCTACTAGTTGACGGCGCGGCGAAAACTCTCGGTGGCGGCGCGCCGACCAGTCGGCGCACACCTCTACGTACAGCTAACGTCTTCTAGATTTCCCGTGCCTTCCGGACGAAGCGCTGCCTACGTAAAAATAGGGGTTTTTGAATTCGGCCTACGAGATTGGCAATTTTTGCGTTTGCTACAAATTTTAGAGAATACCTTGTAATAAAGAAGTTGCTTGCTGAATGACGGTGTCACTTACGTAGGGTTAGTTATAATTACGTTTACGCATTTTTTAAACTTTTTTACTATATTTTGTTGCATATAGGCTCCAAAAAACGTACAAACCTATTTGAAGACACCCTTACTTGAGTGGCGCCACCATCGTAGTTCCGACGACCGCCGCTTCCCAAGTGACCGCCGATAATCCGGCAGGCACGGGAAATCTAGGAGGCGTTGGCACAGCAGGTGTTCTTTGGTATAGCCATATACATCCATCCATCCATCGTCTCGGCGTACACGCTACACAACAGTGCTACACACCGTGGCGTACACCCGTGTTCTGTGGTACACCTCTACCAGTGCGGTGATCGACTACGCAAGCCGACGTTTGGACCCGCCTTTCTCCGTAGCGTGTGGTGGTTTTCGCGGTGTGACAACGTCGTGGAGTGAACGTGTGATTTCGCAACTCAGAAGCATCGCTGTGTGCGCGTCTCTTGTGGTGATCGTGGCCGAAACTGTGCGTGGCAGCGTCGTCCATGAGCATCTTGCGTCGTCCGTGCCGCCGTGTTGCCATGCAGTGCCGTGGCACGGCCCCCCCCTGCCCTCCACCTACGGTGAGCTCCTTTGCCGGCCGCCGGTGTTCCGTTGAACCGGGATCCTTGCCTTCGTCCAACAGCACACGTCGAGCTCACCTGGTTGCGTTTTAAGGCGCTGTTGTGGTCCGTTGACCGCAGCGAAAAACGTACGGGAGTCGGCGAAACGCGGCCGGTAAGTAGCTTATTACTCTGTGGTTTTGGTTGGCGTTGGATCGGCTGAAGTGCGCTTCGGTTAAAACCGCTTAACGATGCCGGCTTGCCGATATGACGATCCTGAACATTGCAGAAGCCAATAAAGTGCGTCGCGTTGGTTCAGAAAACCGCGAGAAAAACATTCACCGTACGTGCGTCATATCGCAAAACCGGCGTTTCTTCCGAAACACGTCCTTCATGTTTTTTAGCCCTGATGCAGGCTTTTTTTGCCTGCCGAAGCGGATCAGACGATTTTTTTTTTTTTAAGAATCGGTGGACAAGCTGCAGCAACGTTGCTCATTCTATTACGAACGACAAGCAGTGTGGCGACCTTCACGCACATTGGAGTTAATTCACGTATGTGATAGTGTGATCTACTTAATCAGACCGATTGGGATTTCTGCTGTCATTGGCCCTCTCCTGAAACTTGCGTAAATTGATCCAATCAGGATCAAGAATAGTCGATCCGGATCAGGCGTGATCGAATTTCCAGATCATGATTGGCCCCTTTATGCAAGCTGCAGAAGGGAACCGATCACTGTAGAATAATTGATCTCGATCGGGCTGAGCTGCGGCGAGCAGCGTACCGTGTAGCATCAGTAGCCATTTTATAGGTCTTAGAAAGGGGATTTGAGAAACATCATTATGCCGGATGGTATGTTTTTTCTAATGAATGTTCCAAGGAGCCATTTCAGGCAGTTTTCTACAGGCATTGAATTTTTTTTTTGTTCTCTTACCTTTAGAGAAAAGCATGTGATACTTCATGCCTAAATGTTATAGCTATTGGTGATGTTGCCTGTATTGTGTTTATGTACTTATTCACTTTAAATGTTTGATACTGAACTACTTTTCTATTTTTGTTATGGCTGTTTTTCTTTTGTGGGCCTCCCTATTTTTTTTACTATTGCTCATTGGTAGGTAATCAAAGCTTTGCTGACTTCAAAAGGGAGTTTTCCTGTGGCGATTTGTGTAGCTATATTGCCATGCACTCTTATTATTTTATTTTAGTGTGATCGGGTTTAGCTGCAAAAACCTGTTAGCACTACTCACCGAAAACCGTGCCACAATGCTTTGAAATTTTCGCGATTGTCTCTGATTGTTCTGTTAAGATTACACTTAAATCCTGACCATGGCGGCTGCATTTCTATAAATGCAATATTGGACCACCTGGTACATCTTAAAAAACACTAAGTGGTCGAAATTCCCACTACTGCATCCTTCATAATCCTGTTGTACAGTTGGGACACAAGAGCTCAATAATTATCAAGGTTACGCACAGCATGGGAGTACCCTTATTCTGGCGGGAGCTTATTTGAGCACCAGCAATAATGCTGTACGGTGCGATTACGGATGTGCAAAACGAGACACTTTCCGCCGGCGATCAGATTACTGACGGCCAGCAACTTTTTATGTGTGTGATTACCAGTGTATAGCACACTTTGGTTCTACATTGAGTGACTTAGTTTTCTGGTCAAAAGTTAGCCCACCTCCGCGAGAGTCTTGCTTACTTCATAGTCGCCACAATACAATGGGAGGTGCAATAAAGTGAAATGCTGGGCCAGTTGGTACAACATAATGTGGAAATATATGAGCACACAAGGTAGAAGTAAAAGCACTTCACAGGAAAGACGCTGAACTTACAACTGAACTTTTATTAGAAAACATTCATTGCACAAGAACACAAACCCACGGGCGCAACCAACTATCACTTCAAAGTGCCACAGCTCCCCCCTCCCCCAAAAGAAAAAAAGGTATACGTTTATCTACTTCAGAGCTCGCAAAAGACACCTCTTTTTCACTTATATTGCTACCAAAGGAACACTGCCACACATGGTTGCATTCACCCTAATCTGTTCTGCTTCCATGATTTCTTTAGTCAATCTGTGTTTGGATTTGCCTAGAATTCTCGTGCTGCGACATTGCAGATTGCACCCACAATCCCTGCAGTGAATTGACAAGTGCATGCCACTTGCTCATGTGTGAATGACCAGCCAGAGAGGCTTTGCTGTTTTTTAGATCCTAACATTGATTTTAATTTATTTATTTATTTATTTATTTGTACCCTCAAGGCCTACAGGCATTTCAGAGGGGAGTGGGTTACAAGGTTATACAAAAAACTAAAAAGCAGCAACAAAAGTAGTAAGCAGATAAGTACAAACATACATGGGCCCTAATCATACAATGTTAGCTAGTGCTGCACGAAACTGATGGTTGTCTTCGATTGCGGCGATCAGTCCGGGAAGGCGGTTCCAATCTTGTGACGTCCGAGGAATAAATGACTGAAAGAAGGCATTGGTGTTGCATGGTATTGTTCCTACTTTTTGTCGGTGATCCATACGAGAAGAAATATATGAAGGAGGAGTAATTAACTCACTGAATAGGGGCGAATTATGGTAGTAAATTTTGTGAAAGAGACAGAGGCGAGAGTGTTTGCGGCGCGAAGAGAGTGGGTAATTGAAGCAAGTTTTTCATGGACGTGACACTTGCCGCACGGGTGAAATTACCGAGAATGAAACGTGCTGCGTTGTTCTGCACGAGCTCAAGTGATGTCACCAGATAGTCATGGCTCGGGTCCCAAATGAATGATGCATATTCGAGTTTAGAACGAACCAATGATTTATACAAAAGTGTTTTTAAAGAGGTAGGTGCAGAAAAGAAGTTGCGGCAAAGGTAGCCAAGCAGGCGATTAGCATTATTAATAACGGTATTAATATGAAGCGACCAGGTAAGATCAGTTGTTATGTGAATTCCCAGGTATCGGTACGACGTCACAGGTTCAAGAAGTGTGTTGTTAAGGTAATAGGAACCCGTCGAAAGGGCTGTTCTTGAAATGCGTAAGACTTTGCATTTAGTTGTATTAAGTTCCATTAACCATTGCTCACACCAGTTAGAAATTGCATTAATGTCCGATCGCAGTGCCGTAACGTCGTTATTGTTGTTAATTTCTCGAAAAATAACACAGTCATCTACAAACAAGTGAATATTAGAGAGAACACAGCTAGGTAGGTCATTAACGTATATCAAAAACAAAAGTGGTCCCAAGACAAAGCCCTGGGGAACGCCGGAATGAACAGAACTGGGTGAAGAGTCATAGTTATTGGCTGTGACGAACTGGAAACGATTAGAAAGGAAATACTCAATCCATGCAAACAACTTAGGATCTAGATTTAACTTGCTTAGTTTGTAAAGGAGTAGTTTGTGAGACACTTTGTCAAAAGCCTTGGAGAAGTCGAGGAAGATACAATCAGCGGATGAACGGCGATCTAAAATTAAGTGTAGCTTGTGGGTTAATGAAAGCAATTGGGTCTCGCACGAGAACTTCTTTCGAAAACCATGTTGCGTGGGTGAGAAGAAAGAGTTAAATTCAAGAAATTTGACCAGATGGGAAAAAATTACATGTTCGAGAATTTTGCATGGAATGCTTGTAAGTGATATGGGTCGGAAATTGTTAGGCGTGTGTTTGTTACCGGACTTATGGAGTGGCACCACCTTCCCGACTTCCCAATCCGCCGGCAGGATGCTCGTGTCGAGGGTCTGCTGGAATATTTTGCACAAAATAATAGAGGAATACACAACAGTACTTTTTAAGAACTTCGTATTAATAAGGTCAACACGGGGGCTCGATGAGGGTTTCAGTGACTGGATTATTTTACTTACACCACCTGGGTCAGTAACAATGGGGTCCATGGAGAGATAATTACAGTTCTGAAGTTCAGGTATCGAGGGGTTAGAAGAAGCAACAAAGTTCTGGCAAAAAACTGCATTGAGTAGGGAAGAACATTCGCTACTGGGTATAATGGAACCATCTGGCCCAGTCAATGTAATACTATTCGTTTTAGAAGGAGTGATCACACGCCAAAATTTTTTAGGGTCGTTAATAAGCATAGAAGGAAGGGTGCGCTGAAGAAAGTGTGATTTGGCAAGTTTTACTGCTGCAATGTATGCTTTGTTGGCGGTTGTGTATGCGTTCCATCGTTAATCACTCGGGGATTTTTTAGCCAGGCGATAGCAACGCTTTTTTCGATTAGACAGCCTGTTTAACTGCTTGTTGTACCAAGGCGCCTCCGGGTTAGAATTTATTGTGCGCAGAGGGATGTATTTATCAGTTAGTTCGTGAACTTTACTTTTAAATAGGTTCCAGTTTTCTTGAACGGTACGCGTATCAAAATGCAACACGAAAATGTCCAGAAAGCAAGCTAGTTCGTTTTTAATAGTTTCAAAGTCTGCTCTTGAGTAGTCGCGAATTTGCTTAGTTAAGGTCGTAGCCTTGCTTAGTGGAACGTTTATATTAAATGAAAGGAGCGAGCGGTCGCTCAGACCGGGTAAGTATGAAATCGGGGAAGCAAAATTAGCGTGCGTAGTTAATATCAAATCTAGTATGTTCGCGGTCTCTTGCGTGGTTCTAGTCGGTTCAGAAACGAGCTGGGAGAAAGAAAATAATGAACGAAGATTGAGAAATTCTGTTGTTTGAGATGAGGGTGGTTTGGATGCGGGGGTTTCCGAGGACCAAGAAATATGTGGGAAGTTAAAATCACCCATAAGGAATATAGGAGCAGTGGGGTGTCGTGTAGAAACAATATTCAGCGCATCGTGTAGTTCAGACACAAACGTTGGGGGATATGAAGGTGGACGGTAACTAACGCCCATAACAAATTTCCGGTGCCCAATGTCAACGCAAGACCATACAGATTCTAAATCAGTGTGAACGTGAATTAAGTGAGATGGATAACACTTTTTGACAGCAAGTAATACGCCACCGCCTTGACGCAAGGTGCGATCGCAGCGATAAATGTTGAAACAGGACACGTAGAAGATTTCACTATCATGAATGTGTGTGTGCAACCATGTTTCAGTGAGTGCTACGATGTCTGCGCTAACGGTGTTAATGACAGAGTTAAGAGATGCAGTTGGTCATGTTTGCTGGGAGTTTTCCCCGCGGTCAAAGAAGGGCCTGTTACCCTTTGACTCTTCTCATAGTAAGCTAGTGAAAAGGGCGATAGCTAATTACTGCCTTAGTTCATCACTCAGCAAATCATGTCCACATAAAATGGAATGCAGTTACCGGAATCAAGTAAGACGCCTACTCAGTTAGTGTTACCTGCACAGCTCGCTTCTGGCAGTAGGCAGTACCATGTTAAAGAAGTTGAAGAGGTCAAGTACCACCAACACGGCAGAAACAAGGCAAACAAAAACAGTTGTAGCTATGCCCTATGTGCAGATGATTTTGCACTCTTTGATAAAGATTGGGTACAAGCATGGTGCACGCGTTGTTCTTATGACTCCCTGCAAACTGGCAAAACTGTGTCCCATGATAGGAAATTGCGGAAAGGTGAACAAGAGCGGTTGCACTAAAAAACATGCCACGCTGTTTGTACTGCGTAGTTCAAGGGTTGTGTACATAATCCCCTTGAGCTGCAGAAAAGTGTAAATCGGCCAGACGGGTCCTTGTTTAAATGATCGACTCCGAGAACATGCGACGTCCTTGAAGGTTCTCGCAGGTGGCACGCACTTGTCAATTCACTGCAGGGATTGTGGGTGCAATCCGCAGTGTGGCAGCACGAGAATTCTAGGCAAATCCAAACACAGATTGACCAGAGAAATCATGGAAGTAGAACAGATTAGGGTGAATGCAAGCAGGTGTATCAGTGTTCCTTTGGTAGCTTTAAGTGAAAAATAGGTGTCTTTTTTGAGCTGTTGATGTAGATAAACGTATACCTTCTTTTTTTTGGGAGGGGAGGGGTGTGACACCTTGAAGTGATGGTTGTTCCTACGCGTTTGTGTTCTCGTGCAGTAAATGTTTTCTAATAAAAGATCAGTTGTAAGTTGAGCGTCTTTCCTGTCAAGTGCTTGAGCTTCTGCCTTGTGCGCTCATATATTTCCACAATGGGAGGTGTTTGTGGGGTGACATGTTAACTCGTTAAAGAAAATTTCATTGCATGTTAGCGAGTATGTAATTAACGAGTGCTTTATGCCGGCAGATAACAAAACTAGGAAAAGTAATGGCAGACTTATAAAAAAATGCCGCAACCAACGTTGTTGCTAGTGTATGCTAATGATTCGATATTGTGTAAACAGTCTTTTATGGACAACTTAAAGCTGCCATCGAAATTTGTGTCATGATGCCAAAGCTAAGCTTTTGTGATTATATGGCGACCCGCTGGCTTGTCATCAAGCTGAGCAGTGACATTCATCCATTACAAAAATTAAAAGTGCAAGGGGGTTTATTAGCGACGCCAGGTAATAGGCAGACAGCCGGTACAGAAACAAATGCTCGGGCAGTCCAGCGTCTACAGCTCGTGCTCCCGCTCGCGCTTCGCACTCAGCGATGGTCCCACTAGTCATTGCCTTGCGAATTCCCCACTACAAAAGCAACAACCGTGGTCAGAGAAGTGTACGAAAAGCTGTCTATTTAAGCAGCCGCAACAAACCGTAATACATTCCTTCTGAAATCAACCAATGTAATTTGAGCAAGTACGACAAAACATTTGAGATACTAATTCATTTCCATAAAATGAAATTAAATTGGTCACGTTAAGCAATTTTCAAGCGGACTTTTTTGTGCATAGGCATTTGCTACTACATTATACAGGCCTACAACTACAAGTTTGTGAATGTATCAATGTAACTTATGATACAGTTTGCAAGTATTGTCTTGGACAGATCTGTTCTGGTGGTATCTTGTGTTTATATCTCCAATACTTCTTGAATGAGTATCTTGTATGGTATTGCGATGCAGTTTCAAGGTATTGAATAAAAAGATAAAGTTGCGACCACAAGAGAAAAAAAAATGTATAAAGGTGTTTCGGCAGCCAGAATGGGAGCCTTGTTCACAATAGAACAAGGTTCCTGTTATGGATGCCAAATCGCCTTACTACATTTTTTGTTCTCTTGTGGTTGGCTTCTTCGTCTCGTTATTCAATGATTTTTTTCCGACAAAAGAGGGATTTTATTTCAAAGTATCCTTGCCCAGCCCTGGTCATAATGAAAGTAAACATGAAAAACCGGCTCTCATTTTAGCGATGAAAATTGTAAAAAAAAACTGCTGTTTAAGTCTTTTTTTTTCTCTACCAATGAAACCACCAAATAATTGAGCTAAAAAAGCATAGGGTATACATAATTTGTTGGTTTTAACTGTAGTGCAATAAATTAAAATGCATTAGAATAATTTGAAAGCAATGGAAGTGGATGAAGAAGCACCCTTTCTTGTGATTGGATCTCAACCCACAATCTGGGTTCGTACCAAACTGACGGAAAGAGCGAGTTTTGATTCACTTAGATTCTTTTCAATCCAAGTGACAATAATTCTCAGCTGTCTTTTAAGCTTCATCGGTTGTGTCTAATGGAGAAATGAGCATCTTCTTTTCTCTCTCAGTCGCCAAAAAGAAGAGGAGGATCCACGATGGCGGTGCATGCAGTAGCTGCTGCGGCTGCTGGTGGTGCCAAGCGCAAGGAGATCTACAAGTATGAGGCCCCCTGGACGGTGTACAGCATGAACTGGAGTGTGCGGCCCGATCGACGCTTCCGCCTTGCTCTTGGCAGTTTCATCGAGGAGTACAACAACAAGGCACGTTTGAAGCCACGCTCACTTGGGTACTAAAGATGTACTTGTAGGCAGACATGCGGCATTTGGTTTCCTACATTCTTTATTTATCCCTGCTCTGGCATGGACGTCCACAGACGCTATTGTTCTTGCTGGCGTCTTCTTCTCTCGGGCTGGCTCGAACACGCGGAGCAGCTGCTGCACAACTTCTTCGTCTTCTCTGAGATACTGACGGCTTGCCATAGAGCCCCCCCTAGGTAGCCCCCCTAGGTGCCATAGGTAGCTCGTGCGTAAAGGAGCGAACCCTATGAGCAGGTTGTAGGTTCTGCTATTGCGAAGCACGCTCGTCCAGTTTTCGGGGATGGCTTGTAGTCTTTGAGAACGGCGTCAGTGTCGAGGAAAGCCGGCTTTATGCGGTCAATGGAGACACTGTCTTCGCGTCCATTAAGCAACAGAACAAAATGCTTCGGGCAACGCTTGATGACCTTAAATGGTTCGTCGTAAAGAGGTTGCAGTGGTGGTCTGATTGCGTCATGTCGTACGAAAACGTGGGTGCAGTTGCGGAGCGCATGACTGACGAAACTTGGGCATGAGTGTCGACATGCAGGAATAGTGGACACATCTCTCATGGCATTCCTGAGGGGACTGGCATAATCAGCTACGTCCAATGGTGATACTGGTGACGTGTCGAAAAACTGTCCAGGAAGCCTTAGGGTAGTGCTAAATTCGAGCTCAGCTGAAAAGAACATTCGTCAGTGAAAAGAGAAAGGCTTTGCTCTTTTCGCGGGTGACGCAGTTTCTGCCTCCAGAACTGCAGCCATTAGTTTTCCTGCTCCGGTGATGCAGGATGACAAAACATCGGCGACGGTGAGCGGTGGTTAACAGGAGGGCGGTGGTCGGTGTACGATGACATCTGGTCGAGAGGCTGAGAGACTGCGAACAAAGGGCGCAATGGCACATAAGGGGTAGGTTTGAAGCTCTGGTGGTAGACAGATACGCGCCGACAAGAGTATCACACTACGAGCCCTGGCAGGCCACATGCAAAACATATTGGCTGATTGCTTGAGAGTGTGCTGTTGTCCACTACTCTGGAGGTACCTTGACTGATCGAACCGAGGAGTGGGTCTTAGTGGCACGGCTGGTGGTAGCGACGCAAAAGTCCGAAGAGGTAGCCATGCGGCAGCTTCAGCATACCTTAGAGGTGCTCACCTCAGCACAGGCAAAGCGGTCATCAACGGGGAAGTGTTGCAGGCACATGGCAGAGCCGCACAAACTTGCTCCTGGATTACCTGGCGAATGTTTGCTGGCAGAGGGGAAGGTGGTTGGCCAGTTATAGATAGCAGTGAAAGCTGACGAGTGACCTTGGCACGAAAAAACTCCTTGATCTGCGATAGCCGTGATTGAAGGTCAGTGGGGGTAGTCAGGCTCAAGATAGTGTCATCTGAAAGGTTAAAGGATTGCCTGAGAAGACGCTGTCCTGAGAAGAGCTCCTCGAAACTCTGACACAGCTCAATGAACTCGAAGACAGTGCAGAGTTCTTGGATAGCAGTATTTGAAAGGTGTTATGGGAAGTGCTTTTCATGATGTGTCGTACCTTGTTAGTTTCTGCTATCGTCAAGTTGACACGCTGGTAGATGTTGAAGATTTGCTCGATGTAGCTAGTGAATGTCTCACCAGTTTGTTGTGACCGGCTTCGGAGTCGTCATTCCGCGCAAGTTTCGCATAATCGCATACTTGCAAAGTCTCCCACATTGTCCGACGACTGCCGGATTGCGACCGTTTCTTCCGTTTGTAGGGTTGCCATGAAATTCTTCCGAAAATCTAAATGTGTGTGCGAGATTTGACCCCACTGATAAAAATGCTGGCCAGTCCGTTTTAGGCTTTTTGCGAGCCCACCGCATTATAAACTAATTTTAGACGCGTTCATCTAAACTTACAGTTGAGTCTCAGTGATGCAAAACTGTGACAGATACGAATTCGTGTGATTCCGCAGCCAAATTCACGTGTCCATTGGGTCGAAATTCGGATGTTCGGAACACTTATCCTATTTGCGGCATGTGATATGAACTTTAGTACTTAAACCGTCGAACGAAGGCCGATTGAGAGCAGCGTGCTCGAAGCTTCAGAAGTATGCATGCGATCAGCACTCGCGCTTTCTTTTCCAGTGCATGTGGTTGTCATTGCCACAACCGCTGTGGACGAAACCGCGATCGTTTGACACGATCATGTATGGTGACGACCTTACTGACAGAACTCCTATAGTGTGCGCCTGGCCAACGTTGGACCAGCCAAAGCAACACTGCTTTCTGCAAACTCTGTGTACAAAACCGCGGCAGTTGCGGCTATAGATAGCACAAAATGACTTATTTTTGAAGGCATGTGGATTGAAAAACAAAACTGCCAATCGCCGCAAACCGCTGCGCACAATACCGCGGTCATGCTGATGCAATAGCGATCCATGACCTCCGAGGGCACGTAGCTGATGCAGCGGTAGAATGAAAGGCGGTGAAGACTTAAAAAGGCTAGAAGCCTTTTGTCGTTCCTGTCCAAAGAATCTAGTAGCAAGCAAAGCCAAAGCTTTGACCCACGCTTTCGCAGCAGCCAGCTGCGCCATCCCATCCGTTCACGTGTGAAGACATAGGCAAGTTATTTATTTATTTATTTAGTATACCTCAAAGGCCCCAGTCGGGGTATTACATGAGGGATGGGCATAATTAGCAACATATTAACGATTCAATCACGGTCTTGAATACATGTGGGTCGGAGTGGTGCATCGCGAAGGCAGGCAAGTTGTTCCAGTCTTGGGCGGTTGCAACAAAAAAGGAGCGAAGGTGGGCAGTAGTTTGTGCTGGCGGTGGATAAACGGCTCGGGGATGGTTTGTACGGCTGGATAATCGATGAGCAGGCAAGATGGCTGGAACGTTGAAAGGAGCGTGATAAAATTTGTGAAAAAGACAGAGCCGAGATATATGACGACGTGATTCTAGGTTGTTGAGGTGGGCGCGAGTTTTGAGTTCGGAAACGCTGGAATGATAAGAGTACACGAAGTAGATGAACCGGGCTGCGCGATTTTGTACAGATTCGAGAAGGTTAAATTGATTAGATTGATGAGGGTCCCAAACCGAGCATGCGTACTCCAATTTAGGGCGAACAAATGTGGTGTAAGCTAACAACTTCACTGATTAGGGAGCAAGTTTTAAATTCCTACGAAGAAAACCCAGCGCACGATTAGCGGAGGATGCTACGTTGTTAACGTGAGTGGACCAGGTGAGGTTGCTTGAGAATGTTACGCCGAGGTATTTATAGGATTCTGCTGTTAAGATTGTAGAGCCCGAAATGGTGTGAGTCACTTGCTGGTAATGTTGCTTACGGTGAAATGATATTAGCGATGTCTTATTTACGTTTAAAGACATTAGCCAGTCGTTACACCAGGATTCAATAAGGTTAAGGTCGTTTTGAAGTATAGCAATATCGGTAGGGTTTTTTATTGGACGGTACACGACGCAATCATCTGCAAACAGGCGAATATTTGATGAAATGTTAGCTGGGAGGTCATTTATATAAATTAAGAAAAGTAGGGGTCGGAGTACTGTGCCCTATGGGACGCCAGAGATTACGGAAAGATGGTTAGATGAATGGTTGTTAGGGTACACAAATTGTTGCCAATTAGTCAGAAAACTACGAATCCAGTTGAACGTCGATGTATTAATGTTTAAGGAAGAAAGCTTGAGGAGTAGCCGTTGATGCGGAACTTTGTCAAATGCTTTTTCATAGTCTAAAAAGAGGGCATCGGTGGGTATATTTAGGTCAACGCTAGAACTGATGTCATTGTAGAATGAAGCAAGTTGTGTGTCGCAGGATAATCCTGAGCGAAACCCATGTTGACTATGATGAAAGAAGTTGTGGCGGTTTAAGAACTTGACGGTGTTAGAGTAGATCACATGTTCCATTAGTTTAGAGCAAATGCTAGTGAGCGAGATGGGACGATAGCTGCTAGGCTGGGATGGAGGGCCCTTTTTAGGGACTGGTACAATCTTACCCACTTTCCAGTCTTCCGGCACCACTCCTGAAGACAGTGATTGCTGAAAAATATGGCATAATATCACACTGACAATGGGTTGTGTGTTTTTTAACATTTTAGCGTTGATGCCATCGGCGCCACAAAAAGATGTAAGCTTTAATGAGTCGATTAATTTAGCAATGCCCTGTTGAGAAAACGTGATGTCCGGCATCATGTCATAATCACGAGGATGGAATGAAGGTAAGTTGCCGTTAGGTTCGATAGTGAACATGGAAGAGAAAAATGATTAAGTTGTTCGGCGACTTCATCGTCAAGGATCGGAAGGTTATGATTGTCAAACAGTGCCAGTAGTTGAGAATTTTGAGGGTTGATAACGCTCCAAAATTTCTTCGGGTTATTGGTCAGTATGGCCGGCGAAGTCTGTGAGTAAAAAGAACGTTTTTCTTTCATAGCATGCGTGCTGAATGCTTTTTTCGCAGCGTAGTAGTTGTTCCATGCAGAAATGTTATTGGATCGTTTTGCTGATCTAAAGAGTCTTTTCTTTTTATTATTGAGTCGTTTTAGTGTAGCTGTGAATCATGGGGACGTCTTTTTTTCGGTGACGGTAATGGTGGGCACGTATTTTATGAACAGGTCATGGATTTTATTTTTGAAGAGTAACCAATTAGTCTCGACAGAGCGCTGCGAAAAATCGGCTAGCAGGCAAGTAGCGAATTCTGCAAATTCATTGTTTAGGGCGGAATAGTTTCCTTTGTTATACAATGTTATCGTTTTTGTTATTTTAGACGAGCGTGTTAGTTGGCAGAGGTAGGTACCATGAATCACTGAATGGTCACTTAAGTCATGCAAGAACGTCATCTTGGAAACCTTGTCAGGCTCGGAAGTGAGGATAAGATCTAGAGTGTTGGAGGAGGTAGAATTTTGACGTGTGGGTTTAGTGACGAGTTGCGTTAGTCCAAATGTTAGGCATGAGTTGACGAAATCGCTTTCAGGACCGTGTTTG